TACCCAGATGAGCCACAGAGACGTTAGAAAGATTCTTTCAGTGTCAGAGTAGCTAGTAAATGGAATGCATTAGGCAATGATGTGGTAGAGGCTGACTCCATACACAGTTTCAAATGTAGATATGATAGAGCCCAGTAGGCTCAGGAATCTGTACACCAGTTGATTGACAGTTGAGAGGCGGGACCAAAGAGCCAAAGCTCAACCCCCGCAAGCACAATTAGGTGAGTACAATGTTAGCCGGGAGTGAGTCGCCGCTGGTAATAGCGGGTGACTAGCTCGGAAAAACCAAACTATCGACTGTCTAGGTCAGGGCACCCGGCTCTCATGCCCACCTTGTTTACCTCATGTGCTGTGGACCCCATACCCATCCTGTGGGTGGTGGTGGACCCCATACCCATCCTGTGGGTGGTGGTGGACCCCATACCCATCCTGTGGGTGGTGGCGGACCCCATACCCATCCTGTGGGTAGTGGTGGACCCCATACCCATCCTGTGGGTGGTGGTGGACCTCCATACCCATCCTGTGGGTGGTGGTGGACCCCATACCCATCCTGTGGGTGGTGGTGGACCTCCATACCCATCCTGTGGGTGGCTGTGGACGCCATACCCATCCTGTGGGTAGTGGTGGACCCCATACCCATCCTGTGGGTGGTGGTGGACCTCCATACCCATCCTGTGGGTGGTGGTGGACCCCATACCCATCCTGTGGGTGTTGGTGGACCCCATACCCATCCTGTGGGTGGTGGTGGACCCCATACCCATCCTGTGGGTGGTGGCGGACCCCCATACCCATCCTGTGGGTGGTGGCGGACCCCCATACCCATCCTGTGGGTGGTGGCGGACCCCATGCCCATCCTGTGGGTGGTTGTGGACCCCCATACCCATTCCATACCCCCATACATATTTCATTGACCTGGGCAGTAGGAGCCTGGAACCCCGGACCTCCAGCACGGGAGACAGTCCCTGATTGATTGATTGATTGATAAAGATCAAGCCACCCCAGAGGTGGCACGGGCATGAATAACCCGTTAGTGGAGGCTGTTTGGAGCCATTTTCCAGTTCCAGTAGCTGATACTGTAGATCTGTGGAATGATGGGAGGGGGGGGGTCTTCAGACAGTCGCTCTATCAACTGCACTAATGAGCTAGCCATTGAAGGGAAGGATCCCAAGGCAACTAACTGCTACCCAACGGAACTTGCCTTCTCCGGGCCGCCACTGGAGCACGTTAACGAGAGACAGATAGTCATTAAATTATGCCCGAATCGCTGTGCGTAATTAGTGGTTTTATAATATAAATCTTTGTACCTATTAATTGTCTACTTTAGCACGTTTCTATATAGATTTTATTAATAAAATTATTATTATTATTATTATTATTATTATTATTATTATTATTAATGAGAGAATATTTTTTTCAGACAAGATGGCGCGCGTGGTTGAGTGTTCAGCCGTGGTGGCGCTGGTGTCGTTCCTGGCCTCCCTCACCCTTGTCACCAGCGAGGCGTGAGTCAAGTGTATATATATAATTATTACTCTCGTGAGTGACCCCTGGCGTGAGTCATGGGTCACCTACGACGAGTACATGAGTTTGAGTTTAATTAGTTTATTATACACCCCCCATTCTCATGATTTAGAATATGTAGCACAGTGGTCTACGTCCTCGGCTCACAACCGAGGGTTCAATCCCTGGGATAGACAGAAACAATTTAAGAATATTGATTCGATTGGTCTCAAGCTTTGTTACCCACTGAATTTTTTGAAAGTTTGCCGTAGCAAAGCACGTCGTACATATTATAATAATATATGCAGAGAAAAAATTCGCCCAAAGAATGTGTTATGTTTACCATATTTCTCTGGGTTTGAGAATATTGTTAAGGCCTTGAAACTTTTTGATATACAAGTATTGTTTAGCTATGAAAATACTGTTGGTAAACTATTAGTTAGAAACAGCCCTCATAGTGATAATTGTGTCATTTATAAAATTCCTTGTAAAGACTGTAATAGGTTCTATGTTGGGCAAACATCTAAAGATTTGAAATGTAGAATTTCGCAACATAAATACTCTGTAAGACATGACCAATTGTGTTATGCTTTGTTCATCTTGTGGTAATGTGAGTGATCCTTGGACAGGAACAACACCGAGCATCTGTCACGTCAGAAGAGGTTGATCTTCCTGACGTCAGAGCGGCGCCTGACACTGCCGCCCACCACCGCCCTCATCCTCACGCCCACCCTCAGCCTCCCCCTCGGGAGGAACCTCCCCCTCGGCTACTCCGCCTCCATGACCATCTCCGTCCCCTTCAAGAGTAAGATTATCGCCTCCATCCTCACTCACACACACGTGTCTCCAGCCTAAACTGTGTGTGTATGACTGTGTGTGTGTGTGTGTGTGTGTGTTTACTAGTTGTGTTTACTAGTTGTGTTTTTGCGGGGGTTGAGCTTTGCTCTTTCGGCCCGCCTCTCAACTGTCAATCAACTGTTTACTAACTACTTTTTTTTTTTTTTTCCCACACCACACACACACACACACCCCAGGAAGCAGCCCGTGATAGCTGACTAACTCCCAGGTACCTATTTACTGCTAGGTAACAGGGGCACTTAGGGTGAAAGAAACTTTGCCCATTTGTTTCTGCCTCGTGCGGGAATCGAACCCGCGCCACAGAATTACGAGTCCTGCGTGCTATCCACCAGGCTACGAGGCCCCCTACCAGGCTACGAGGCCCCCTATGTGTGTGTGTGTGTGTGTGTGTGTGTGTGTGTGTGTGTGTGTGTGTGTGTGTGTGTGTGTGTGTGTGTGTGTGTGTGTGTGGCACCTTCCCTAGCATTAACATGTTGCCTTAGCAATTCTCCAGATAGGCTTTAAGCCCAACACCAACCCCAGAGAGAGAGAGAGAGAGAGAGAGACAGAGAGACAGAGAGACAGAGAGAGAGAGAGAGAGAGAGAGAGAGAGAGAGAGAGAGAGAGAGAGAGAGAGAGAGAGAGAGAGAGAGAGAGAGAGAGAGCTTTACTACCATCAAGTGTTCATGGGGGGACTAACACTTGGACTTCAGGGACTTCAGTGACTGTATTACTCTTACATATGACATCATTTCTATCTTACTTACCCCCTTTGACTCCTTATTTTAAGCTTTACAAGATACATTTATTAACATGTTGTATGTTAAGCTGAGTGGCAGCTTAGAGTTCTTGGGAAGCTGTCTTGTTGACTCTCTTGTCTATCCTTACTCTAATGACTGGTTCAGTGACTTAACTGTCTGTGAAGATTTAACGTTTTTTTTATAACAATCACTGAAAACACAAATGTTCAACTGCACAGAAATTCATATCGAAATACTATAGCAGGGTAATTAATTCCCATCGGGCAAATGATGCTGACGTAACATTAAATCAACGTTGATTTGACGTAATAATGAATCCACTTTTACTTAACGCTGACCTTATATTGATTAAACGTTCATGTTACGTTGATTTAACGTTTCTCGAGCATATTTTGCCCACTAGAAACTGTCAGACATACGTAGGATACCTGCAAGGTTAAGTATCTTAGAGTATCTTTAGTATCTGCGTGGTGATTATATCCGCCACTATCCGTACAAGTAGATATCTTGCACATGATGTCACGTGACCACCTATGGGGGTCAAAAATGCTGAGTCTGTATTATGATTACAGCGTCACACGGGAGTAATAAGGTGCATTTAAGGTTCTGGCGAGGAGGATAACAGCTGGGTCGTATCACAACAATGATCGAACACTGTTCAGCACCTGACGCAGTTCATCATGTAACGCGGTGTACATAATCCGAACACAGCGTCATTTGACCCCCATCGTGACGACAGAACCAGAGATCTGTCCCCGGGCACCCAGGGGCCAGATTTACGAAGCAGTTACCCAAGCACTTACGAACCTGTACATCTTTTCTCCATATTTGGCGGCTTTGTTTACAATTATTAAACAGTTAATAAGCTCCGAAGCACCAGGAGGCTGTTTATGACAATAACAACATTTGAGTGGGAAGTTTTCATGCTTGTAAATTGTTTAATAAATGTAACCAAAAGGGGTTAAAGATTGAGGAAAGATGTACACGTTCGTAAGTTCTTGCGTAACTGCTTCGTGAATCTGGCCTCTGGTGGTCCACCTGTATTCATCTCTTCCACTGTTCATGTATTTTGGTGACTTTGGCTTACTCGTTATATATATATATATATATATATATATATATATATATATATATATATATATATATATATATATATATATATATATATATGTCTTTAACCCTTAAATGGCTCAATTATTTAAAAAGTTCTTCATTGGAGAGTGTATGACATAAAGATAGTTCATTAAACGAATTAAAAAAAAGTGTTGTATGGTGATTGGAGCGCAGGAGGTAATTAGCGACTTGCGCAGTTTAAGGGTTAAGGTGATATGCTTTTGAGAAATATTTTGTTTAGAGCTTGTTCAGCTTTGCTCTTCATGGTATACATGTATGTATACTGTGAACAACATAGTATACATGTATGTATACCAAGTGTTTGGTGTATTTTTTTAATTTTATTTTCAGTGTTATCAATTTATATATAAAAAATATATTTGAATGCAGAACAAAGGTTTATTTAGAAGATTTTAGTAACTAACCATATAGGCTTATTTAAAACATATACAATAATACACATAATAAAGGTCATTCAATAGTGAATCCTTCAGAAACCATTTTGACACTTTTTTGACAAATTTAGTAATAGGATACGACTTTTATTTCTTCGTATAGACTTTTGACAGACCCGTATGACAAGTTAACAAAACGGCTACATACTGACCCCCCCCCCCCCGTCTCTTGTTCTCTAACACATCCACTTGTTGACAAGAATATCATGCAGAGAACTAGACACAACAACCTGTCTCAACACAAAGAACCCAACCCACATAAACGACGTTTTATATATCAAAGTGACGACGTTTCTATCCGTCCTGGACCCCTTATCACAGGAGCACCGATGTTGCCTAACCCACTACTGTGGCACCAAGCAGAATATCTTCATTGGGCAGCAGATACCCTGCTCTTGCCCCTGACCTGTTGGGTCTGGGGCACACACCTTCCCTTCTGACTGCTTACAACATCCTCGTGGAGGTCCTGACAACCTAAAACATTCTCTTGGAGGTCCTGACAACCTAAAACATTCTCTTGGAGGTCCTGACAGCCTAAAACATCCTCTTGGAGGTCCTGACAGCCTAAAACATCCTCTTGGAGGTCCTGACAGCCTAAAACATCCTCTTGGAGGTCCTGACAGCCTAAAACATTCTCTTGGAGGTCCTGACAGCCTAAAACATTCTCTTGGAGGTCCTGACACCCTAAAACATTCTCTTGGAGGTCCTGACACCCTAAAACATTCTCTTGGAGGTCCTGACAGCCTAAAACATCCTCTTGGAGGTCCTGACAGCATAAAAACATCCTCTTGGGGTCTTGACAGCATAAAAACATCCTCTTGGGGTCTTGACAGCATAAAACATTCTCTTGGAGGTCCTGAAAGCCTAAAACATCCTCTTGGAGGTCCTGACAGCATAAAACATCCTCTTGGAGGTCCTGACAGCCTAAAACATTCTCTTGGAGGTCCTGACAGCCTAAAACATTCTCTTGGAGGTCCTGACAGCCTAAAACATTCTCTTGGAGGTCCTGACAGCCTAAAACATTCTCTTGGAGGTCCTGACAGCCCAAAACATTCTCTTGGAGGTCCTGACAGCCTAAAACATTCTCTTGGAGGTCCTGACAGCCTAAAACATTCTCTTGGAGGTCCTGACAGCCTAAAACATTCTCTTGGAGGTCCTGACAGCCTAAAACATTCTCTTGGAGGTCCTGACAGCCTAAAACATTCTCTTGGAGGTCCTGACAGCCTAAAACATTCTCTTGGAGGTCCTGACAGCCTAAAACATTCTCTTGGAGGTCCTGACAGCCTAAAACATTCTCTTGGAGGTCCTGACAGCCTAAAACATTCTCTTGGAGGTCCTGACAGCCTAAAACATTCTCTTGGAGGTCCTGACAGCCTAAAACATTCTCTTGGAGGTCCTGACAGCCTAAAACATTCTCTTGGAGGTCCTGTTAGCCTAAAACATTCTCTTGGAGGTCCTGACAGCCTAAAACATTCTCTTGGAGGTCCTGACAGCCTAAAACATTCTCTTGGAGGTCCTGACAGCCTAAAACATTCTCTTGGAGGTCCTGACAGCCTAAAACATTCTCTTGGAGGTCCTGACAGCCTAAAACATTCTCTTGGAGGTCCTGTTAGCCTAAAACATTCTCTTGGAGGTCCTGACAGCCTAAAACATTCTCTTGGAGGTCCTGTTAGCCTAAAACATTCTCTTGGAGGTCCTGACAGCCTAAAACATTCTCTTGGAGGTCCTGACAGCCTAAAACATTCTCTTGGAGGTCCTGACAGCCTAAAACATTCTCTTGGAGGTCCTGACAACATAAAACATTCTCTTGGAGGTCCTGACAGCCTAAAACATTCTCTTGGAGGTCCTGACAGCCTAAAACATTCTCTTGGAGGTCCTGACAGCCTAAAACATTCTCTTGGAGGTCCTGACAGCCTAAAACATCCTCTTGGAGGTCCTGACAGCATAAAACATCCTCTTGGAGGTCCTGACAGCATAAAAACATCCTCTTGGAGGTCCTGACAGCATAAAAACATCCTCTTGGAGGTCCTGACAGCATAAAAACATCCTCTTGGAGGTCCTGACAGCATAAAACATCCTCTTGGAGGTCCTGACAGCATAAAAACATCCTCTTGGAGGTCCTGACAGCATAAAAACATCCTCTTGGAGGTCCTGACAGCATAAAAACATCCTCTTGGAGGTCCTGACAGCATACAAACATCCTCTTGGAGGTCCTGACAGCATAAAAACATCCTCTTGGGGTCCTGACAACATAAAAACATCCTCTTGGGGTCCTGACAGCCTAAAACATCCTCTTGGAGGTCCTGACAAAATGTTTCTTTTCCATTTACTGATTAACTATAATGATGACCGGATTCACCTGACCCGACGTCTCTCTCACAGTTGCATTTGACGACCTTGGCTTGACCTCGGAGGAGAATCCATTTGGATTCTTCCCGTCTTTTGGCCTGTTTAGGAAGAAGCGGGAAGCCTTTACCACTCTGCCTGGCATCAATTGGGCTGGAGGCGACAGGTAAGACGATAACAGCTATTGAGTCAAAGTTGATATAGAGACAGAGAGTCATAATATCAGTGGTCTACATCCTAGGGTTTAATATCGAGGGTCCCGGGTTCGATCCTCGGGCTGGGACAGAAACGATTGGGTACGTTTCATCTCATCTAATGGCTCTGTTCACCTAACAGTAAAACAAGGACCCGGGGACCTATTTTTTACTGCTAGGTGAACAGAGGCCCGTCAAGTGGGTCGGATCTTCCTACTAGACCAACTACTGACCTTGCCCAAGATGCACTTGTGAGTTGCGTCCTGGAGAAGGTCTGAATAGTTGATTGATGAACATTAAGCCACCCAAGAGGTTAGCACGGGCATGAATAACCCGTAAGTCAGAATAGTCAAAGACCCGGGATCACCGCCTATAAGCCAAAGCACAGGCTTCCTGTTTCCCCGACAACGAACTTTTATATCACATATGGGAAGGATTAGATTATCTGACATAGGTGTAACATTTCTCAAAGGGGACAGGGGACTGTGAAGGTAATATTAAGTTAACAGTTACGATTCCCTGCCGTTCGTGTCGACAGGGAGATGATGTACATGGTGGTGGAAGACACCTTGGACAACATGGGCATGAACGGGAAGGCTTGCCTCCTCCGGGCCATCTGTGAGATCTTCCAGGTGCCGCTCATCAACCACGGCTTCTTCGGCGAGGTCCTCGAGCTCTTCTTCAGGTGAGGAGTGAGACCTTTGTGGCGTTTCTTGATTAAGGAATATAGTGAAAGATGGCAGTGACAGCATGTGAGGGAGAATATCCCAGCTGAGTTAATATATATGCACGCCAGCAATGTTAGAATCAACATTTGATCAACGTTGGAATCAACGTTTTATCAACGTTATAATCAACGTTTTATCGACGTTAGGATCAACGTTTTATCGACGTTATAATTAACGTTTGATCAACGTTAGAAAGCAACGTTTTATCAATGTTAGCATTAACTTTTTATCAACGTTAGAATCAACGTTTTATCGACGTTATAATAAACGTTTGACCAACGTTAGAATCAACGTTAGCATTACTGCTTTACCAACGTTAGAACTAATGTTTGATCAACGTTGATGAAAAATCATTAAATCAACGTCGTTGTGCTAAGAGAGCATCACCAAGCGCACCAGAATATGTAGCTTCTACAATTTTTTGTTTAATTGATTAATAAATGGTAGAATAGTGAAAGGCTTTTGTAAATTATGTTCATGTTAACTATGCCAGGGAGAGCTAATGGGGGGCTCTTGACTTGTTATATATACAAGTTTGCTTAGCTTTTGTTCCCGTGCGAGCATTTTTGTGAAGAGCATGAGACTAGTAAGAACTTTGTATTCCATTAATTAAGATGTTGTACAGCGTCAAGTATTGTATTAGTCAAGTAAGATGTAACTTCCATAAGATGTCTTACAAAGTTATGCAAGATCTTACATCCAGAAGATAACTTACAGAGTATTAATCTTGTAAGATCGAGCTTTCATAGGTTGTATCGCAGAGTACCGAGTCATTCCAGGCGGTTGTAAACAGCATAAGATATACTAAGCTTGCCATAAGATATCGTAAGCTTGGCATAAGATATAGTAAGCTCAATACAATAAGTTTGTACAATAAGTTTGCACAATAAATTCGCAAGAACATGATATATCAATGGGGAAAAGATTAAAGCCATACAATGGGATCGAATCCGCATATCCCTGAGCTCTTCAGGCTCGTATAGCCCGAACACTCCAGAGACATGCAGGTTTAATCCCATTATATGACCTGAGGAATTAAGAATTCGATTCCATTGTATGGCCTACGGAACTCCAGAGATACAAGTTTGATACCACCAAAGAGCCTCAGTATTTGAATGTTTTCTTACATTCACTTAAAAAATCATCTTCATCTTTTTTTTTTCCCGTAGTGCTGGTCGTTCTCCACATTCCGAGAAGCGACTCAAGGAATATACCTTGGCTGAGAAGGCTGGCAAGACCACTGGAGACTGTAGTGGCTATCACCACGAGTGCCCGCACTCTCTCTTCACTAACCCCGGAGAGCTCAAGTGGCTGTAAGTGTCGTATACATATGTATATTTACCTTCTGTTCACTGAGCAGTAAATAAATACTTGGGCGTTAGTCAACTGTTTTGCAGGTTGCATCTTACAGACTGGGGGTCACTCGATGCAACTGTTACTTAAGAATAGACAAGTAGCACAATATTAATTTTGTGTACATTCCTTCTAAAGTAGTTTTAGGCAATATTGTCATCAGTGCAAAGTCAGGTAAAGTGGCTTCAGGTTCTTTGATTTAGAGCCTTCAGCTTCTCAACTGTTCTAAGTTCCTCCCAAGTATCTTTATTGTAATATCTTTCTTACCTCTCAATACGTTCTGCTGGTGAAGCTACTCTCCTAATAAACAACTCTAACATAAACACATTTTTATAAACAATATAAATAATATTTTAACATTATGAAATCAAAACTTCCAAGTTTATTAAAGAATGTAATTTCATGACTGTAGTTTTAAGCTGAAATTTCATTCAGTATTTACTAACCGTGTTTGCTAACACCTTCAGGAAGGTTCAGGACATTGGAGACTGGACAGTGGATATTTTAATAGTGTTTTTGTTAATGTGAGTCACATCATCGTCAGAGGCTCTTAGCAAAATTCATCCTTGATGATAATGTCTGTCCAGTTTTCTTATACTATACAGCATAATATATATATGGGTCTTATAGCAAGGTAGTCTACATCCTCGGCTCACAATCGAGGGATCCGGAGTTCAGTCCGCAGGCAGGACAGAAGCGATTGGACAATATTTTCTTTAACATATATTTTCTTTAACATGATACGTCAGATCACCTAGCAGTAAAATAGGTACCTGGGAGTTACCAGGTAAATATTATGGATTGCATCCTAGGGAAGGTTATTTAATGGCTTAGGAGGGATATGGATAAGCCAAGCTTCCTCTTCCCCCAACAGCGTAACTTTTATAAGGCAACAGGAACTAAACACCATTAATGTTTACAGAGAGGCTGAGCACTACAAGGACCACTACCCTGAGGACTCCGACAGCGAGACGACGGCAACAGACGAGTCAGAGAGTGAAAACATTATAAATGACGAGTATCCCTCGCAATCTCAAGATAATGTATCTACTGAGAAAACCAAAAAGACGAGGAGAAGGTTTAAAAAATCTTGCGATTAGTTTTATAATAATGTATAAAGCGTATAAAGACGGCATTCTCTGGTTCGCCTCTATGAATTATGGAACATTGCCAAAAGGTGATAATTGCAATAGATTTGGTAATGTCTTCACACATTCATAGCGTGATCCAGACTCACAAAAAGAGTCCTATTTTTTCCATGCATTATGCCATTCTCAGTATTTCTGTAATGTGAATTTGGTAGTGCAAGACTGGCTAGTTATAAGTTGTCTATGCGTCGTGGTGTATAATAATGTGGCTTCTATAATAGCTGTACAGTCAGCTGGGATAGTTTAGGAGTGATTTCGAGTCCCTAGCTGCCCCCAGCCCAAACAACAGCACGGCAGGTATCAAAGAAAACGTCCAGAGAGTTCACAGAGACCAACCACTCTACCCCGGATACAACGAACATGTAAACATCGACTTGTAAACAAATAAATAATAGTCATTTTATTCACACAATATACAATACATTGGACATGTTAAAGTGGTGCCACAGTGGGAAAAGAAATTGTTTATTGTATAAAGAAACTAGTTACGCACAGAGTTCTAAAATAAATCGTTACACGAGAAACATTGATGATTATGAGAACAGCAGGATCGAACCAGCTGTCTGACTATGGGGTGCGTCTGGGCTGTCCCGGGACGCTAGTTCAAATTCAAATTCAAATATAACTCGTTCGATTCCGCCAACCTGCTTCAACAATATTCTTATCAATATAAAATGAAATCACATTATTGTGATTTAAGTGTATATTAATAATTATAGTTTTGACTTTCAAAATCATGTGCATAAATTAAAGAAAAAATAAAAAAAGAAAAATGTTGAGCTTCCATTTAAATTAGTGTTATAGGCCATATGGTGCAAAGTAATTCAGACTGCAACAGACACGGATTTTAAATATGAAGTATTTGTCCAACTTGTTAATTAATGTATCCGGTTTTACTCTCTATTATGTCTAGTGGTGAACTATATCGTGCATTAACCACTTGATCCAAGAAAAGTATTTTTAGTGCTAAAATATCTCATACTTTTACTATTTGATCCAAGAAAAGTATTTTTAGTGGTAAAATATCTCATAATTTTACTATTTGATCCAAGAAAAGTATTTTTAGTGGTAAAATATCTCATAATTTTACTATTTGATCCAAGAAAAGTATTTTTAGTAGTTAAAATATCTCATTTTTTTACCACCTGATCCAAGAAAATTAATTTGCCTCGCTACATTGTTTAATCTCCGAATCTCCGTGTAAATTGTCATGTTCTATATATCCCTGACTGGTTCAGTATGTATTTTTGTAATATAAAATGACCGTCTACAAGTTGTTTTGATGTGATACAAATAGGAATATATAATTGTTTGTATACCTAATCTCAGTGCTAAATGTAAGACAGGTTGTATAAGTTTTCAAAATTTGTATAACAGTTTTACATTTGGATAATACAAGCCCATCGTTCAAAAATGGCAGTATCTATAGCTACTATGGTAGAGTGTACCAGATATTAACTCTTGTAAACACACACAAACAAAGGACAATGTTTTGAACTATTGAGATTCTTAAAAGCTGAAATAGACTAACTATAGATCTAACCAAACCTGTCCTGGGTCTATGTAATTGATCTTAAACCTAATTTAGTACATATATATGTATATGTATAGGTGTAGAAAGAGTGTTTTTTCCGTGCCGTGTTTTTCGAGCATTATTTGATTTAAGTGTACAAAATGGACTTCTTCTTTTTTTTTAGTGTAAACGCTCTCCATATTCTAAACACTCCATCCATAGTGGCTATACTGTGCATACTGTTATTTTTGGAGGAGAGGTGGAAATAAAAAGCAGCATTTGCCTCAGGAATCTCCCGGCTAATTCGTAGAACAGGCATATCTTATCGTGTGTTCAAGGCTTTGGTGGCATTTTTTATTTTTTTTTTAATCTTGGGCATCATATTTACTGAATATTATGTGGTGTAAAAAAAAATGTATGTAAACAGCTATTCCATATTTTGTCTTGAATGGTGAATGCCAGTCGTGTATACATATACAGTGACGTGTGTGTGTGTGTGTGTGTGTGTGTGTGTGTGTGTGTGTGTGTGTGTGTGTGTGTGTGTGTGTGTGTGTGTGTGTGTAATTCACGAAAATTAACACGTGATGAAAAATGTGACAGTGTCAGACCACGAAGGAAAAATTGAAACAGGAATTTCCTAAAGTACTTTCGTATTTAATCATTCATCTTCAGAAGGATGCATTATACATCCTTCTGAAGACGTATTATTAAATATGAAAGTACTTTAAGAAATTCCTATTTCAATCTTTCCTTCGTGGTCTGACACTGTCGTATATATATATATATATATATATATATATATATATATATATATATATATATATATATATATATATATATATATATATATATATATATATATATGTATATATATATATATATATATATATATATATATATATATATATATATATATATATATATATATATATATTATATTATATTATATTATATTGATCTCTTTCATACCTTTGACAAAAGTCTAGATATTTATGAATGTATTTGTGTTTATGTTAAGGAAGCTTTGTGATATATTTGGGTATTGAAGTTCCGCTCCCATTAGACACCTAAGTAACCTAATCATAGTTCAAGAACTGTGACATCTTGTAATCGTTGTTAGATTGCTTTATTATCACCTAATTTAAGGACAGAAAACATTATTCAATTGTGTTATTTATAGCTAATTATACTTTGTTATGGTTATTATTGTTTTGTGTAATGTTACTTTGAATTCAGTGTCTGATATTTCATTCTAAACATAGTGCTGTTGGCAGTGGTACAGTAGTCATTACTTTCCGAACTTTAGGTTAATTACGAAGACTACTGGTCTAAGCTATTATACAGATATTTTATGAATAAATCAGATGACTCCGCTACTTGGCACAGTAGTTTATATCAAAACTGCAGTTTTGCCAAAGTGCCATACTTGAGAAGCAGAGTTCTGTATTGCTCCGTTGTTACTTAGTTGTACACACCTAGTTGTGCTTGCTGGGGTTGAGCCTCGGCTCTTTGGTCCCGCCTCTCAACTGTCAATCTACTGGTGTACAGGTATCTGGGCTTCTCGAGCTCTTATCATATCTACACTTGAAACTGTGTATGGAGTCAGCCTCCACCACATCACTTCCTAATGCATTCCATTTACTAACTACTCTGACACTGAAAATTTCTTTCTAATGCCTCTGTGGCTCATTTGGGTACTCAACTTGCACCTGTGTCCCCTTGTGCGTGTACCTCCCGTGTTAAATAATCCATCCTTGTCTACCCTGTCAATTTCCCTGAGAATTTTGTATGTGGTGATCATGTACCACAAAACTCTTTTTGTCTTCCAGCAACGTGAGGTGAAGTTCACGCAGTCTTTCCTCGTAACTTATGTCTCTTAGTTCTGGGACTAGCCTAGTGGCATACCTCTGAACTTTCTCTAGCTTCGTCTTCTGCATGACAAGGTACGGGCTCCATGCTGGGGCTGCATACTCCAGGATTGGTTTTACATATGTGGTATACAAGGTTCTAAAGGATTCCTTAACTTCTGAAGGTTTCTGAAGGCAGTTTTGATGTTAGCCAGCCTTACGTTCGCCACTGATGATATTCTTTTGATGTGGGCTTCAGGAGACAGGTTTGGCATAATATCAACCTCTAGATCTTTCTCTCTGTCCGTTTCATAAAGTACTTCATCTCCAATTTGGTATCCTGAGTCTGGCCTCCTGTTACCTCTGCCTAGTTTCATTACCTTACATTTACTTGGGTTGAACGTTAGTAGCCATTTGTTGGACCATTCCTTCAGTTTGTCTAGGTCATCTGTAGCCTCATGCTATCTTCCTCGGTATTAATCCCCCTCATATTTTTTGCATCATCAGCAAACATTGACAGGAATAAATCTATTCCCTCTGGGAGATCATTTACATATATCAGAAACAGGATAGGGCCAAGGAGTGAACCCTGTGGGACTCCACTGGTGATGCCTCACCAATTTGAGACCTCACCCTTCACAGTGACTCGTTGTGTTCTGTTGCTTAGGTACTCCCTTATCCATTGGAGTACCTTCCCTTTCATCCTGCCTGCATCTCCAGCTTGTGCACTAGTCCCTTATGTGGTACTGTGTCAAAGGCTTTCTGGCAATCCAAAAATATGCAGTCTACCTACCCTTCTCTTTCTTGTCTTATTTTTGTTGCCTGGTCATAGAATTCAAGTAATCCTGTTAGACAAGTTTTGCAATTCCTGAACCCATGCTGATGTTTTGTTACAAAGTTCATTCGCTCCAGATGTTCCACTATTTTTTTCACAGAATTTGTTCCATCATCTTGCGTGGTAAAGTTAGGGACACTGGCCTGTAGTTCAGTTCCTGCTGTATGTCTCCCTTCTTGAATAGTGGGACTACATTAGTCGCCTTCCAAATTGTTTGCAGTTTCCCTGTTATCAGTGATTTGTTACTCATCATGGAGAGTGGCAGCCATAGTACTTCTGCTCCTTCCTTTAGTATCCATGGGGAGATTCTATCCAGGCCTTTTGTCTTTGTCACTTCCAACTCTAGCAAATGCTTTCTTACCACCCCCACTGGTAATCTCAAACTCCTCAGTGCTGCCTGGTTAGATATTCCTTTTTTTTATCTCTGGAACTTCTCTTGTAAAGGAACTTCTCCTTCTCTTATTAGCTTGGGCAAGTGTTTTAACAGACCTGCTCCGTTGGTGAGCCTAGATAGATGAGTTAATTGAAACATTGTACTACACTCTGTGAGGTCGGGCAGGTGTTTTAATATAAACATTACACAGCACCATTATTGAGCTTAGGCAGGTGTTTTAATATCAACAGTACACAACTTCGTTGTTGAGCTTAGGCAGGTGTTTTAATATAAACATTACGCAATATCGTTGGTGAGATTAGGCAGGCGTTTTAACAAACACAATATACAGGACCACTTGGTAAGCTAGGCAGGTGTGTGTTAACATAAACACTGAATTAAAACACATTAGTTACTTGTGTAGGTTTTTCCATACTGATAAAAAATTATTATATGCAGAGGTTCAAATTTTACAAAATAGTAAAAATTTCAGATTCATCAAATTGACTAAGATAGTTAGCAAGAGAAAGATATATACCTTTCAAGATTTCTTTCATTCAGAACGTTTGCCTTAGCAGTTAAGATAGGTATACCGAAAATAATACATTCGTGTATTTCAAAGGTTTAATTATTCAAATTAATAATGTATAATATATGCCTGTAATAATGATCCATCGAATTATTGTTATGTTCCCTGAATATGTGATGGTATGGCATAATTAATTCAGATATTGCACTGTTTGATCCTCCAACTGCATAGGTTCAGATTCACATCTTGTGATGATTGGTTCAGATCCACTTCTTGTCATGACAGGTTCAGATCCACAGTATATTCTTGTAGTCTACCTGGTACATGGTACAGTATGTGCTTGTAGCATGTATGGTACAGTATGTACTTGTAGCATGCATGGTACAGTATGTGTTTGTAGCATGCATGGTACAGTAATGTGCTTGTAGCATGCATGGTACAGTAATGTGCTTGTAGCATGCATGGTACAGTAATGTGCTTGTAGCATGCATGGTACAGTAATGTGCTTGTAGCATGTATGGTACAGTAATGTGCTTGTAGCATGCATGGTACAGTAATGTGCTTGTAGCATGCATGGTACAGTAATGTGCTTGTAGCATGCATGGTACAGTAATGTGCTTGTAGCATGTATGATACAGTAATGTGCTTGTACCATGTATGGTACAGTAATGTGCTTGTAGCATGCATGGTACAGTAATGTGCTTGTACCATGTATGGTACAGTAATGTGCTTGTAGCATTCATGGTACAGTAATGTGCTTGTAGCATGCATGGTACAGTAATGTGCTTGTAGCATGTATGGTACAGTAATGTGCTTGTAGCATGCATGGTACAGTAATGTGCTTGTAGCATGCATGGTACAGTAATGTGCTTGTAGCATGTATGATACAGTAATGTGCTTGTACCATGTATGGTACAGTAATGTGCTTGTAGCATGCATGGTACAGTAATGTGCTTGTACCATGTATGGTACAGTAATGTGCTTGTAGCATGCATGGTACAGTAATGTGCTTGTACCATGTATGGTACAGTAATGTGCTTGTAGCATGCATGGTACAGTAATGTGCTTGTACCATGTATGGTACAGTAATGTGCTTGTAGCATGCATGGTACAGTAATGTGCTTGTAGCATGCATGGTACAGTAATGTGCTTGTAGCATGTATGGTACAGTAATGTGCTTGTAGCATGCATGGTACAGTAATGTGCTTGTAGCATGTATGGTACAGTAATGTGCTTGTAGCATGCATGGTACAGTAATGTGCTTGTAGCATGCATGGTACAGTAATGTGCTTGTAGCATGCATGGTACAGTAATGTGCTTGTAGCATGCATGGTACAGTAATGTGCTTGTAGCATGCATGGTACAGTAATGTGCTTGTAGCATGCATGGTACAGTAATGTGCTTGTAGCATGCATGGTACAGTAATGTGCTTGTAGCATGTATGGTACAGTAATGTGCTTGTAGCATGCATGGTACAGTAATGTGCTTGTAGCATGTATGGTACAGTAATGTGCTTGTAGCATGCATGGTACAGTAATGTGCTTGTAGCATGTATGGTACAGTAATGTGCTTGTAGCATGCATGGTACAGTAATGTGCTTGTAGCATGCATGGTACAGTAATGTGCTTGTAGCATGTATGGTACAGTAATGTGCTTGTAGCATGCATGGTACAGTAATGTGCTTGTAGCATGTATGGTACAGTAATGTGCTTGTAGCATGCATGGTACAGTAATGTGCTTGTAGCATGTATGGTACAGTAATGTGCTTGTAGCATGCATGGTACAGTAATGTGCTTGTAGCATGCATGGTACAGTAATGTGCTTGTAGCATGTATGGTACAGTAATGTGCTTGTAGCATGCATGGTACAGTAATGTGCTTGTAGCATGCATGGTACAGTAATGTGCTTGTAGCATGCATGGTACAGTAATGTGCTTGTAGCATGCATGGTACAGTAATGTGCTTGTAG